TAGCCAAGGAGAAAAATCAAAATTAAAAGTTCAACTAAGGACATAGCTAAAGTGGTAGAGCACTTGTCTAGAAACTGCCAAGGCCCTGAGTTTGATCGCCAGTAATTAATAAAAATAAATAAATTCAATGTATGGTTCCTACTGAATATATATGGATTTTGCACCATGAAAAAAGTCAAAAATCGAAAGTTGATGCTGGGTGCCAGTGGCTCAATGCTTGTAATCCTAGCTACTTGGGAGGCTGAGATCTAGAGGACTGTAATTTGAGGCCAGCCCAGGCGAATAATTCTCGAGGACCCCCCCCCACAAAATAATGAGAAAAAATGGACTGGAGGTGTGACTCAAGCTGTAGAGCACCTGCCTTGCAAGTGAAACCTTGAATTCAAACCCCAGTCCCACCAAAAAATAAAGAAATCATAAACTGAACTACTGTAAATTGAGAATCATCTGAATTAACATTTTGGGTTAAATAATTGTTGGTTGAAAGGAGGCTCTTCTGAGTACCATAGAACACTTACGTGCATTCCTGTCCTGTAGATGTCACTATCATTCCCCCTCCTCCCAGTTTTAAAAACCAAAATTGTCTCCATGAACAAATGCCCAGAGAAGCAAAACTGTCCAGAGTTGAGAACCACTGAAGATCTAAGCTGAACAACTTATTCCTGTCAGTTTTTTCAAAATTCTGTCTTTCTGAGGCAGGGGTAAGGGTTGGGGTGGGGGGGGTGGAGAGTTGGAGGAAAACAAGAGAATGAAAGAAAACCAAATAAAAATGGATCCTCTCCCTGGTTAATGCTGGATACAGTGACCATCTCTTAATTCAGTGGCTTCTATTTTGAGTTCCCATGTGCTTAAATCGTTTTATTTTTCTTAGAGAGGATATAAGAGTTTATACCTTTATTTTATATAAATACAGATAGGTTTTCTACGATTATCTTCTAAATTAGATAACAACAGCATCAATGCATCCTCATAGTCTCAATAAAACAAATCTATTCTTAGAGTAGTAGAACTTCTGCAACAGATAATTTAACTACTATATGATTTTGGTAGTTCTTTTTTTCCTTCTAATTTAATCTTATTCTCATGTTTGGATGCATTTACTAGTAGATCTTCACACATCAGCTTTTCACTGGGGCAGGGCAAAGGCAGTCATTTTAAAACTCTAATATTCACAATATAGGAAAAAAAAACCAGAAAAACGGGGCAATATCTATTAACATTGTACATTCTGAAATAAGCCTGGTAGCTAATATCTGAATTGTAGGCAATGAACCAGAGTTTTTCACTCTAATCAAAAGAGGCAAGTTGTTACACTCTTGCCCAAGCCCTAGAATATACAGCTTATGTTGTAAGAATTCATGAAAAAGTAAAATGATGTCTCCCAGAAAATGATTCTTGATAATAACTTATAGTGGACTGACTTTGAAGCAAGTATGTCAGAGCATAAGCCTAACTAAATAGAAAAAAAAAGGGGCACTGGGCTGGGGACATGGCTCAAGTGGTAGAGTACCTACTTAGGGGAGGAAAATCAATGAAATAATTCTTTCTTTGGCATCTAAATTGACCAAATCTTATTAGCACTCAGATAATAATAGTCTACAACAGTATTAGAAAATGAATCTCTAGCTGGACACAGGTGTCTCTCTCCTATAACCCTAGATACTTAGGAGGCAGAAAGAAAAAAAAAAATACTTTGAAAGACCCCATCTCACCCATCTCAATGGAAAAAGGCTGTATGTGGCTAGCAGGTGGCAAATGCATCCCAGCGACAGCAGTTACCTTAAAATAGGAGGATTATGCAAAAAGTGAGACCCTACCTCCAAAATAACAAGAGCAAAAAGGGCTGGAGGCATGACTCAAATAAGTGGTAAAGTACCTATCTAGCAAGCAGGAAACCCTGAGAAGGAGGGAGGGAGAGAAAGAAAGAAGGAAATTAGCTCATTTGTACTTTGTAGCATATAAAATGTGACACATTAAGTGGTAATTAAAAATGTTTATGGTATGAATTATCAGTTTTAGATCACCAATGCCTATTATAAAATACCATCTCTAGAACAAGAATCTATCAGCATAAGCATTCTTCATTACTCACAAGAGTGCTATATAAGTTGCTTAAGACAAAATTTTTCAAATTACTTATGAAGAAACTAATGAAAATTCTTTGCATTCCACTAATAAAGTATTTTTGAGGTAGCAGCATGGCTCAAGTAGTAAGGCACTTGCCTAGCAAGCAAAGTCCTGAGGACAAACCCCAGTACTGCCTCCTCCCCAAAAAAGGTACTCTTCTATGTAGTTTTGTTAATCTAGTAAGTGTATGATAAAGATGTAAAAAGCAAAGTATTAATAAAATAAACATCAAAATGAACAGCTAATAGTTGAAGGCAAACTGCTCTGATGTTTACTTATTAGGAATTCAAATTTTAAATGATAAAATATTAAAACAGTTAACATGATGGTCAAATGTAACAAACCCATTATATGTTGACATAAATAACATTTTTATGAAGAATGACTTTCCCAGAAAAAAATAGTGGGAATAATGACACTCCTACATTTTTACATATCTTTTTAATGTGCATCTTTACAGAAGAGAGATGACTATATGTGCTTCTGCATTCAATGTATTGTCATATATGCTCCTGAAAACTTCACTGCATATTCCTGAGAATGGGAGAGTTAAAAAGGCAAATACCATAGCTCACATCTATAATCCTAGCTACTTGCAAGACTGAGATCAGTAGGATCACAGCTGGAGGCTAGCCCAGGCAAAGAGTTCATGAGATCCCATCTACAAAATAACCACAACAAAATGGACTGAAAGTGTGGCTCAAGGTGCAGAGCACCTGCTTCCCAAGGGCAAAGCCCTGAGTTCAAATCCCAGTCCTACTTAAAAAAAAAAAGAAAAGGTAAATACTGTATTATTATTACGAAAATATCAACTCTGTAGATCCCCTGAAAAAATCTCAGGGCCTCTATCCTCCAGAGATTCCTGTACTTTGAGAACAGCTAGCTAGGCTGGAGGTGTGGCTCAAGAAGTAGAGAACCTGTGTAGTAAGTGTGAAGCCCTACATTCACACATACTCACACACAAAGAGAACAGCTAGCTATTTAAGGATTCTAAAATTTTACATGACTGCAAACATCTCTTTCATTTTTATTTATTTATTCTTATATTTTTTGTTGGTACTGGAGACTTAGGGCTTCATGCTTGCTAGGTATGTGCTCTACCACTTTAGGCATGCACCATCCCATTTTCTCCTTTAGTGATTTTTTTCGATAGGATCTCAGGACCTTGATCCTAAGGCCTCCAGAATAGCTTGGATTACAGAAGTGTACCACCACTCCCAGCTTATTGGTGGAGATGCAACTCAACGAGTTTTTGCCTGGGCTGGTTTGGGCCCATGTTCCTCCTACCTATGCTTCCTATGCATTCAGGATTGCAGGCATGTACCACCACATGTTCTCTTTCATTTTTCAACTACGTTAACGTAAACAGAGGGTTTTTTTCCCATCACACAAAATAATCAATTTAGAAAACTAAATTCAGAGAAAACTCTGAATATAAAATACAGTGATTAAGTACATAGAAATCACACAAAGATCAGCTGTGTTAGACTTTTAGTTTTCCCAACAGTAAAATAAAGATATTTCCTCTTCACAAAGTTTTGAGAGTAAGCAAGTGCTCAAAACTATGCTTCCACATAAAACTTTCATCAGTTACTGTTAGCTACAACTATCATCTCCTCAGTTTGAGGGATTTTGAAGATTTTAAAAAAATTTTTTTTTTGGTGTTACTGAGGTTTTTACACATTTGTTATGTTCCAAGTACTAATCCTGAGGCATTTCTTTAACAAAACAGTCTGCTCAAGTCAATCCTATCAAAATGCAGCAATCACACATTTACTCTTCACAGTGTGATTCCTTAGAATTTTTAATTCAGTTATTGGCTTAAAATAAAAATTAAGGAAAAGCATTTGAGAAGATAGATCTAGACTATTTTTGAAAACAATAAAATAATTCTCTATGGGGATTGGCGTAATGGTTCAAGCGGAGAATGCCTGCCTAGCAAGCATGAGGCCCTGAGTTCAAACCCCAGTATCACCAATAAGGAAGGAAAAAAGGGGGAGAGAGGAATTCTCTATGGAACAAAACAACTATCTCATCAATAAAACGAACAGGTTTGATGACAAAGTTCATAAGCCGAAAAAAATGTAGAAACGAGTATAGTAGTCTAATTTCATTACTCACAGATAAAGCAACCAAAACTCGAAGCTTTACTATCTTCTGAGTCCTCCCTAACAAAGCTGCTTCTCGTACGGGTCTGTAAATTATTCCTAATTCCAACTGAGCAACCGCAAGGTTTATCAACTTCGGTTAACAAAGGCACCTGTTCTCCCCTAACCTGGTTCCCAAGGAGTCAAAAACTTTAGAGCCATTATCTTCTGACAATTAAAAACATCACAGCAATCTTATTTTTCCAGGTGAGTACTGACTACCTCCCAAGGCACTTTTCACAGGTTTAGAATTAGAGTATCCCTGTTTCTTTGCATGTAACTCTTGCTCTAAAGACGAATTCAAGCCTCTGCTCACTCACTCGCTCCTCACCACGTCTACACGGAACACATCAATCCTATGCACGCCGCAGTGCAGAACTGGGGAACCTGGGACCCGCGGGCAGGCCGTCCCCGAGCACGCGCGCTGGCGCAGGCTGGAGAAGGCTGGAGCTGCCGCCGCCGGCATCCCCGCAGGAGAGGAAGGGAGGAGGCGGGCCCGGAGCCCCGCCCCGCCCCGCCCCGCCCCGAGAAGACCCCGGGCCCACCCCGCGAGGTCCGCCCCCAGCCTCCCGGCCTCCTTCCTGTGCCAGTGCGGCTCCCTTACCCGTCCCCGGGCCGCTCGGCCGCGAGCGCACGCCGGCCCCGCGACGGCCGTCCGAAAGACCCCAGAGCTCGCGAGTACGCACATGGGCCTGGCCCGCCACCGGCCCGCCCGCCGGGTCTCACCTCGCCACCAGTACGTCTTGGACAGGTCGTGCCAGGTCTGATGCCGGGTATGATGAGTGCCGCCAGGGCCCAGGTGTGCCGCCTCGATGAGGCCCCGGCGCCTCTCCGGCTGCAGCACCACCTCCAGCTCCGCAAAGGTCTTGCGGTGCCGCTGCCGCCGCTGGTAATACAAAGTCCCGCCGCGCACCACGTAGCAGGCGGCCGCCTTGCGGATCTTACGCTTGACATTGCCCTCCGTGCCGGGCGCATAAGGCTCGCGCTCGTTTGTCAGGTAGCGCAGGATGGCCCGGTAGCTTTCCTCGCTTGACATCACGGACGGCGGCTCCCTGAGGGCGCCTGTCACTACGAGGAAGACCACACACTAGCTCCGGGTGGATGCAACAGCAGCGACGACACTCTGAGGAACGGCTCCGCCTTTGGTGGGCGCTCTTCGACGGCGCTCGCCCTCAGCGCGAAGGAAGAACCGACGACTTGGTAACCAGGGGGAACTGCACTTCTCCAGCGCGCGGGATCCGCTGGCGACTGACAAAATGGCTGCTGCACCACCGGAAGTGACGCAAACCTAGGGCGAGGTCTGGATCCTGATTGGAGCACTCCCGTTTCTAGCTTGAGAAAGCAGAGTGACGTAAGTACTGCGGTCGGACGTTCTGGAAAACGGTAGGCCCTTCCGGAGAAATCGAACGGTTTTTGAGCAGACATCTTAAGTCCTGGCAGTTTCCTTTTTTTTTCCCCCTTTTCCCACGCTCTCAGAAGAGCCACGTGTAGGAGCTGGTGGGCAGTTATCCGATGAGACAACCAAAGGGGTAATGAATCGGTTTTACTGTCCACTTAAAGACACCTGATAGAAAGGAGGCTGCAAGATTTTGAGGCTTGTGGACACAGAACCCAAGGTAGCCCCAATCACATGGAAATGTAGGGGAAATGTAGGTTCAAGTTGACAAGCATTTTAAAATGTAAGTGCCTCGATGTTACAAAGTATCGCCATCTCCTAAAACGGTAGCTCCCAACTACTCAAGGAATAATCAGGATTTTTCTGGAATGATCAGCCTATATAATGACTTTACATATAAAGGACGGTAGTGTTGGAAGGGATGGAAAGCTAACATTACTGTGTTACTAAATTTCATCTATTTATTTTCGCTTACATCTGGGAGGGGTCTCCATATTACACCCGTTGTATCTAAGGGCAAAGGGACGAGCTGACCTGAACTTCGTTTCTCAATCTGCAAGGAGGGTTGTGATTGAGATTTTAAAACAGTTAATAACTTGGAGCGGCGGCCCTGTTCTCCCTTCCGTGGGCTGAACCTGCTGTTCGCAGAGCCCCAGGACTGCTCCACTCCTTCATCAGTCAGACACTGGCGCCGATTCGCTGAAGCTGGAAAATTCCAGTCTTTCAGCACAGGGGCTTTGGCTGTACAAACTACTGCCACCAGCCTCCGGGAATACTGGTGTCTGCAGTCCATTGACGTTCTTCGGTTCTTGTGGGGACAGGTGAGGGATAGATAGCAGATGAGCAAGTGGCTCAAAAATAAAACTATCAGACCTAGCATCTACTTAGGGTTACTCAATCTGCAAACTTGTAGATTGTGATTGGGAGAGGAGTTAGGTGGAGACGGACCCCTCCCTTAGGGTGGGGCCAGTGAGAGCAGCCTCTAAGGAGCTGGTTGGTCTGTGTGCTGGGCGGCTTCACAATTCTTTGAGGTGGTATAAATTTTTTAAACAATATAAAAAATAAATCGAGGGCTGGAGGTGTGGCCCAAGTAGTAGAGCGCTTAATCTAGCGCACCTGAGACCCTTGGTTCAATCCCCAGTACCAGGAAAAAAAACCCAAAACTTAAAATATTAAGTAAACAATAGAGTGGAAGTAGCAAAGGCAACTACTATTAAAGAAAACCGATCAGTCATCAGTTTGTAAAACTATATGAAAACATTGAGTTCCCTAACACGCAAAAACCTTTGAGCCAAGAGAAACAAATTTTTAATAAAATTCTTTCGCAGTAGTGGAATTTTCTTCCTGAGCAAAGCTAAACTGGTACTCTATATGCTTATTTATAGTTCCTTCTGAACTGCCTAGGACTCCAGAATAATCAGAATTACCAATTCCATTTTAAGCCATTAAAGCAATGTTGTAAGGCAGCATTTACTATGTCCAAAAATTACCAGCCATAGATAGGTCAGCTGTCATATGGGTTATTTTGTTCAAGCTTTCTTTGTTCATAGCTACATTTTCTCAGTAATTTTAGTATCATTACCATTTGGGGAAGGGAGGGATGCAGTACTAGAGTTTGAACTCAGGGCCTCACACCAGGTACTCTACCTCTTGAGCCACTCCTCTCTAGTCGTTTTGTGTTGGGTATGTTCGAGTTGATGTCTCTTAAACTATTTGGCCTGGCTGGCCTTGAACCTTGATCTTCCTCATCTCTGCTTTCTGAGGCTTGAGCCACAGGTGCCTGGCTCATTACCAGCTTTTTTCCAAGCAAAATCTACCAGTATATCTTGTAAGGTTTCCAAAACCTGTTTCGTTATCCCAACATTTTAGAACAATGCCTGAATTTAACATGCACCAGAAAAAGTAATTCACAATGGCTAAAATGTGGGTGAGAGAAATGACAGGGACTTTTGACTTCAGATTACTTTTTAAATATCTTCCACTCAGCTCACAGCTAATGGTTAAATGAGATACAAATGAATAGAAGGCAACTCAAGTATAAAATGAGTATATCGTGGACAGAAATGACACAGCATCTCTTAATCAAGTTAGACGAAATCTGTGCAACATATTACCTGCAGCTATGTAACCAGTTAAAGCTTGAGAGCATGACTGAAGTGTTGAATGTATGCCTAACAAAGAAGCCCTTAAGTCAAGCCCCAGTACCACCCCCCACCCCCAAAAGTTAACATAGTGCAGTCTGTAATATTCCTCAGCTAAATAAAGCTAACAATCAACCACTGACTTTTTTCTCTTTTGAAGAGCAAATACATTTATTCTTGGCCAAGAATAGAAATAGGAGATGAACTCAAATCAGCCTCTCAAACAGTTGGGAGTGGGTTACAAATATAGGGTGTTAGAAATAAGGGTGTGGGAATAGGCTAATACAGGGGAAGAATATTCACTTTTTCTGGAAATATTTTATTTTTGTCAACTGCCACAGCCCTACAGGTGTTTTTTTTTTTTTTTTTTTTTTTTGGCAAGCAGATGGGATTTAAAATGAAATTAGGGGTGTGGTGGTCACTCTGGCAGCTTTAAATCCAACTGTTTCCACTAGTTATCCTGAAGAGGGATTTCTGGCCTATACACATCTTATTCTATGCAATAAACACTCTTAAGCTTCTTGTGCCACTCCACAGGAGTTATTCATGTAGAATCCTTCTCTATTTGCCATGGCTCCCAGCCAGGGGTGGGGATAAGTTGACGATAAATATCCTCTCCAACTAAACTTAGTAGAAGGCATTATTCCTGAGAAACATTTGATGCTGATGATTGAACCAAGGGATTCAGATATGCCAAGCACACACTACTAACCTCTGAACTAAACCCCTAGCCCCAAGAAACACTCTTTTAAACAATGCCTGTTTGAAGGCTGGGGTGTGGCTCAAGTGGTAGAGCCTGTCTAGCAAGCATGGGGCCCTGAGTTCAAACGTGGGTGCCACCAAAAGGAATTGCAAAAGGTAAATTAATACATTTAATATATTAAAAAATAAAAGCATCCCCCAGTCTGTATCTTATATTCTTAACTTTATAGTTCACACTTTACCATGCCCATTAAAAGTAAAAAAACCAGCACAATGTAGAGTTGTACGTGTATCTTTATTTAAAAATCTGATCTTCCAAATTAACGTTTTCCACCAACTCGAGGAGCAGAAACCTTTACGGGCTTCACAATTTTTTGCTTAGGTGCTGCCTTTGTGGGAGCCTGTAATAAGATAACATGTTATGTGACATTGCTCCATTGACACCCCATCACCCTGCTCTAATGTTCAGATTCTGCACATATCCTGATTGCCTTAATAATTAGCTGCGTTCCTTGCAACATAGGTTACTCCAGAGGCACCTGCACACCCATGCTTATTGCAGCACTATTCACAATAGCCAAGTTATGGAAACAACCAAGATGCCCCACTACTGATGAATGGATCAAGAAAATGTGATACTTGTACACAATGGAATTTTACTCAGCCATGAAGAAAAATGAAATCTTATCATTTGCAAGTAAATGGATGGGACTGGAGAACATCATTCTGAGCAAGGTCAGCCAAGCTCAGAAGACCAAAAATTGTATGTTCTCCCTCACATGTGGACTTTAGATCTAGGGCAAATGCAGCAATGTGGTTGGACTTGGATCACAAGAAAAGGGGAGAGCACATAAGGGAGATATAGAAAACCCAAAACATGAAAAGTGTTTGATATCCCCACTCCAGAGGAACACAGAAACCTTAAAACAACAGAGGTTATCATGAGCAGGGGATCAGGAACCAATGTAAAGATCAGTTAGAGTTGAATCAACATGGGTCGTAACACATGGGTACATGGAATCAACAGTATGAATCTTTCTGTGTAGCTATCCTTACCTCAGCTAGCAAAAACGCTTTGTCTTTCTTATTATACGTATGTCTTTTCTTCAACAAAATCATTGATAAGGGCAGAACGGGACCTGACTGAAACTGAGGTGGGGAGGAGGGGGAAGAGTGGGATAGGGGAGCAGGGTGGAGAAATGACCCAACAGTGTATGTACATGTGAATAAATGAACAAAAAATAAATAAAAAAATAAAATGTTTCTCATTGAGTAATGAGGTTATTTTAGAAGAAACATCAGAAGAGCATCCCAGCAGCACATCTAACTACCTTTGCCTCAAGACACATGTTCCTAGCAGTGAGTTACATTACGCCTTCTTGGAAAGTGCTCTGTCACTTCTTCAGTGAAATTATTTTTGGTAAATAGTAAGAAACATGTCTTTAATTTATGAAAGCTCTAGAAGAAAACAAGTGAGTGAGAGATTTTTTTGAAGCCCTCCAACAATTGAATACTAATCTGTCTAATCAAGCTATTGAAAGTGACTCTTCTGCACAGGAATTTATAAATGCAGGGAGCTAAACATTGTAATGCCATGGATTTTTGCCCCATCAGAAATTTTACAAGCCAATTAAGGGCATGACATAGAGTAACAATATTGACTTAGGTTGAATCAACATGGGTCATAACACATGGGTACATGAAAGCAATAGTGGGAATCTCTGTATAGCTATTCTCAACTCAACTAGCAAAAACGCTTTGTCTTCCTTATTATGCTTATGTCTTTTCTTCAACAAAATTAGTGATAAGGGCAGAACAGGACCTGCCTGGAACTGAGGGGGAGGGGGAGAAATGACCCAAACAATGTATGCACATGTGAATAAATGAACAACAAAAAAGTGAAATTATACTGTGGAAAAAAAATAATCATTTAGCTGCATTCCTAATATTCAGCTTTTTATCTAACTTTCTCACCTTTATAATGAAAGACAAAGGCATATTACAGAGTAAGCACATAAAAGTAAATGTAGTGTGAGACCCTGAATTACACACTAACAGAAAAAGAATCCTTTGCATGTTAGGCATGCATTGTGCCACTTGAACCACATCACCAACTCTAAGAAAGCTATTTTTACAAATATAGGACCATCAATCCTGAAGAATGCAAAAAAAGGGGGGTAAGGAAGGGCCAATGTTAATTTTCTGGTTTTAACTATGGTATAACACTGAGAAATGCTGATAAACCCACTGTACAGTTACTCAAGTTTTTCAGTGTAAAATTACTTCAAAATAAAGTTTAATGTTCTCTCTTCCCAGTGCCTGCTGAACATTAACTGACTCACTGGTTACTAGAGATTTAACCTGGAAATCAGCTAGTGAACATTTCCAGAGCCTTACTTACATAAGCTTTCTTACAACTATAAAATCATAATTTTTGGATTAAAAATAAAATTTACTGTTGTATTAAGAAATCCAAGGCTGGGCATGGTGGTACATGCCTATAATCTCAGGTACTCAGGAAGCAGTAATAGGAGGACCAGGGTCCAGGCTAGCCCTGGCAAAAATTCAAGACAATCTTGAAAAATAACTAAAGCAAAAAGGCTAGGAGTATGGCTAAAGCTGTAGCACAGCAAGCACAAGGCTCTGAGTTCAAATCCCAGTACCACCAGAAAAAAAAACTTAAATTACATAAATCCAAGAAAACCTCATCATTACCTTAGCAGCAGCCATTGCTGTCTTCTTGGATGCCTGTTTAGCTTTTTTTGCTTCCTTGGCAGCCCTGTGGAGTTAAAACAACATTAAAACAGTGTTCCATGCCAGAGCAAACAGTGGCTCTCAACCACTGACTGGCCTCTACCTGTAGGCTGCTGGCAGTGAAGTGGGCGTGCAGTGGAACACAACATTAAGGGAAACACATTACTCCTTCAGGGTACAACTTACCAACAAGAGAGAGTTTTGGGTAAGTATCCTATTCCTCCCCCATCTCCATATTTGTAGGTTAAATTGAAAATGCAAGGAGTTTCTTAATGAATTTCATCATCTAAGTCAGCTTAATATATATTAAATTGCATAGTATCTTTAACTGTACAGTTTTAACAAATTATTTAATTACAAATTTTTGAATAATGATACCTAATGACTGACAATCCCAACACATCAGATTAGGTTCCTATACCTATAAACCAAAACATAACCTAAATTCACCCCAACAGCTGAAGTGTTCATAGTGAAGCATTCCTTACCTGATAGCTTGTTCTCGTTGAGCCTTTCTAACTTCTGGTTTCTGATTTCTCTTGGCCATGATATCAGCAAGAGATGCACCAGTGATGGCCCGCTGGAATTTGACTGCACGTCGGGTTCTCTTTTTTTGAATTTCTTCCTATAAAACAAATAGATTGGGAGCACATTTATGAACTGTGCTTCATGGGTCTGGAGGAAGGAGAAATTAAGTCTTTTTAAGACAGGGCTAAAAATCTTTTAAGGTTCATCTTTTTTTTGGCATTACTGGGCTTGAACTCAGGGCCTCACACTGGGCAGACACTCTACCACTTGAGCTATTCCGCCAGCCTTAATATACTTGAAAAGCTGTTTAATGCTGGGAAATGCAAAATTACCTTAAAAATTAAATGTACCAAAACAAGATGTTTGTAGGTAGAATAAACCATTTTAAACTTTTAACCAACATTTACCAGTTTCATAATTTTTCTCATCCCAGATCCATTTAAAAATATTTCCATTTAGCAGTCTTCAAGCTTTATCCATGTTGGCCGGTTGACAGATTAAGGCCAAATAACATCATACTGTATGTATATACAAGGCAGAGCCAGAATCCAAAACCTCACAAATTTTTGAGCCACTGCCACAAGTGGAAAATTCCATCTGACCTCATGTAAGGAGTTGCTACCAAAATGGAGGCCCATTAACAGTATTGGATAAAACTGCCTTCAAGCTACATGAAACATAAATGAATTCTTTTCAGACTTGTGTCCTATCACTAAAATGTCCTTTTCTATCCCAAATGCAAAGGAAAAATCAAAAGCAAAGATACTTCTGGCCCCAAGCATTTGGGATGATGGGTACTCAATCTGTGCCACATTGAGTTATCTGTTCATTCACTCACTAATGCTTGGGTTGTTTTCACCTTTTGGCTATTGTGAACAATGCTGCTAGGATCAGTGTACAAGTTGCCTGAGTACCAGCTTCCAATTCTTTTGAGTATGTACTATATAGTGGAACTGCGAAATCATGTAATTTTAACATCGAGTTAAAACGGTTTTTTACAGCAGCTGCACCATTTTACATTCAGCAACGCACAAGTGTTCCAACTTTTCCCCATCCTCACCAACCTCTAACAGCCCCATATTTTGACAACAGCCTCCCTAACAGGCTCGTCAAATGCCCTTAAAAGCAATTATAAATAAACCTCTCCTTCCTCAATAGTAAGTACCTGATGGCATTTACTTCCCATAAAACCTAGCAGTGTTTCACCCAGGAGAGATGCTTGATAAATAAACCTAATTATCCCAAGCCTCTTGAATACTAGTTATAGGACTACCATCACACTAAAAATTTTCTTTACCAATCTTCATCCAGCTAAAAGGGAATCTAAAAACAAAAGCACCAAAAAATTTCAGTCATGAGAATGAACCTCAGTGCTGCATGCCAGAACACTCCAGGTGTCCATGTTAGGGCTAATCTTATAAGGATTATAATCAATACCAAATTACCACAACAATGAGTTAATTTCCACTCAACACCTTAAATCCTAAGGAGGGGTCCTATATCCCAAAAGTGCTTAGTCAGACCTGTAATCCCGAACACTTGGGAGGCTGAGGCAACAGGAGCCCAGTTCCAGGCCAATGAGAGCTACATAGGTAGACACTGTATCAGAGGCAAAACAAACCAAAATCCCCAGGTTATTTAATGTTACTCATCTGATTTACACAGGGGGATGCCTTCAAATTTCCCCTCAACATTGCTCTGAACCCAAGATGTGTAAGCAGAGACCTTACATTATCTGTCACTTGTTTATGCACATTCACAATCTCGTTTAATCACAAATTTACAGAGCAAAAACAGCCTAAACTTCTTGGAAGTTAAGTGTCACAACATCAAAACTTGTTTTACTTACCGACTGTCCCTTTTTGTGCTTTCTTCTGTAGAGGACAGTCCAATTTATCTGTCGGGGATTCCTCTTGGAAAGGAAGGCCGACTCGCATTTTGCATTGAGAAATTGGAAAACCTGTCGTAACAAATTCAAAATAATGATCAATCCAATTTTACACAAAGAAACAGAGGCTGAGCTTGAAATCCTTAGAAAATAGTATTCTATCTTTCTTCATGCAACTGGGACCCAGAGACCAATAGCTCAGTTAAGTGGGTGGCATGCTGTCTTTGTCTGGAGCAGGCAAACCTACGCCCACAGGTAAGTGTAGAGTGGCGTGTCAACTGCTGGGCGGAATCCGGCCCTTCTCCCAGAACTGCAGAGATCTGAAGCCCCCAACAGCCCGACGCCTCGCTGTCCCGCTCATTTCCCTTACACCAGACCAACGCGACACAAACCTGGCTCATACTAGGGTAAGGCTCAACACTGGTTCACTCAGAGGTTTCTGATCCAACAACCATTCCACACAGGGCTCCCCACACCCTCTACAGACCCACAAGAACAGAAGTGAAGCCGCCTAGACCTAATCGATCGTCCTGCTTCTCTGAGGCTCCCCAACGCGGCCTTTACCTTCCCGTCTGTCCTGGCGTAGCGCCTCCCATGCCCGGGGTAGATCTTGTACCCGCTAAAACTGCACAGCTCGACCCTGCAGTGGAAAGTGGAAACCCATTACTGAGGCGTTTAATGCAAGCAGGAGCCATGCCCCGGCCCCCACTGAGCCGCTCCTCCCTAGGATGGAAGCGGATTCGATTCGAAGCGTCCCCTTACTTCATGGTGGCGGCTAGCGACCGGGCAAGAAGAAAGATGGCGAAAAGAAAGAGAGAATCATGGGAAGAGACCTTATAGGGTCGTGAAGGAAAAATCTCCTCCCCAAATGACCTTTGCTGACCCCGGCGCTAAATGATGACGTCTCGGAGCGAAACCGGATCTCGGTTTCCTTGGCTACCGCCTTCCTCTCTGGTAATTCGGCCTGAGTCTGCTAAAAGCTGCCGCGGCTCGAGGGAGGTGACAGGCCAGCAAGCCGGCAGGCCCTTGGGTTCTGTTCTAGCGCCAGCATCCTGCTGTAGGATGTGTGAACAAAAGAGGCTGCTGTGTTCTCTCTCCTCCCCCTTTTATAAAGACCCACAGAAGGATACCTAGCGGGTGAAAAAGTCATTTTACCTTTCATGTTGGCCCAATTCCTAAATCAGCACAATTATATTTTAGGGGCCAGAGGGCGTTGCTCAGTGGTACTGCACGCGCTGCGCGAGGCCCTGGGTTAAATCCCCAGCACACGAAAACAAATTAATAGTTTAAACCATTTGCTTAAAAAGGGGAGAAGGAGCTTATCTGAAATCGTCTCTCAGCATGGTGGCTTGTTGCGTTAATTATAATTAACATTCAATGAGCACGTTCTCCTTGCCTGGAATTATGCTGTAGCGTTGACATACATTATTGCATTAGTTTGCAAAATTCCTATTGAGTATGCTCGGAAACATCGCAAAATGGAGCACCGCGGAAGGGAGAGGAGCTTGGATGAATTGCTGCTTAGTGAAGCCGAAGGATGGATAGAGACTTGGAAAAGGGAGTTCTGGCCAGGCCCACTCGGACGACCAAGGCTTCAGTGTCTCGAGCCTTTCTGTGATACTTCTGCATATAACGGGGAATGGCAAGAAGCAATCCCTAAATTCTGAGGGAAGCTAGCACACGTGCCTAAGAAACAAATGACTGGTTTATGTTTCCATATATATAAGCAACTCACCCTTAAAATGTTCTGTAAGATAGGTGGTTGAATGTCCAACAAAGTTACTGATCATTGTTAAGAAAGTTGTGTAATTGTGTTGATCCAGTCTCAAGAATGAGTTAAAAGATACCTGCATGGAATCAAGAGCAAAGAGGAGGGCTGGAGCGGTGGCTGGAAGTAGAGCACCTGCCTAGCAAGGGGGAAAAAGACCAAACAGGAGGAATGCAACAGTTTAACAGTTACCAGCTGTTCAGAATACCTAGTTTACTTAGAAAATGTTTGCTTCTTTAAGCTTCCCCAGCCAACCCTGACATTCATCCTAAAACCGGAGTTGTGGACCCAAGGCCCAAACTCCTGAGATTCTATATACCAGGTCTGGCCACCCACCCCTACACACCAAAGAGGCATGGTGAAGGCAGAGAAAGATTTATTACACAGCTCCGCACATACTGTGGGAAGAGGCAGAGTAAGCAATTATGTATTGTGACTTAAGCTGTGTTCAAAACACTCTTAGACAAGGAATACAGAAACCCCTAAAAACTTATCTTAGTGTCATCCATAAAATATTTTGCCCATTTATCCTCACTTTCTCTTTTATCATGCGCAAAAGGTACAGCTGCACTCCCATCTCTTTTATTCATTTATGGAGCAATACTAAACCAAACTTGGTGCTCTTCTTAGCATCTGTGACTCCTGAGAACAAAGCATTTCCCTTTACAGCTTCACCCATTATACTTACTCACTGGCTGCATTAGTTTCCTGTGGTTGCCGTAACAAATTACCACAAATTTGGTCATTTACCACAAGATGAACATTATCTCACAGTTCTGGAGACCACAAATCCAATATTGATATCACTAGACAGAAATTAAGATGCCTGTGCTCTCTCTGAAGGATCTAAAGAAAAATGTGTTCATGTGTTCTTGTCTTCCAATCTCTACCTTGCTAAGCCACTCTTGAATTCCTAACCCATAGAAATTGTGAGATGATGTTTGTTGTTTTAAACTCCTTAAAGACAAGTAGAGTGGCGTGAGCCTATAATCCCAGCTACTTGGAATTCTGAGGTAGGAGATCTCTTGAGGCCACGGTGAGACTCCAGTTAAAAACCAAAACAAGCTAGTTGCTGGTGGCTTACACCTGTAATCGTAGCTACTTAGGAGGCAGAGATCAGGAGGATTGCAGTTTGAAGCCCGCCAAAGCCAATAGTTTGCAAGATCCTATCTCAAAAAATTCATCACAAAAAAGGGCTGGCGGAATGACTCAAGGTGTAGGGCCTGAGTTCAAATCCCAATACCACAAAACAACAACAACAACCCTATGTTTTGGTGGTAATTTGTTAACATAACAATTCAGGTGCAAAGAAAATGTTAGAGGGGCTTGGTGAATTTGTCTAGGGAATATAGATAAGAAGGAGCAGGTTTCTAGAGGAAAGAGTCAGTTTTGGAAAGGCTGGGTTCAGCTGTCCCTAAGAGGGTGGCAGGGAGGCTGGGGCATGGCTCAAGTGGTAGGGCACTTGGCCAGCATGTGTGAGACCCGAGGTTTTATTCCACAAAAACATTTTTAGAATAATAAAGTGATGCCCACAAGACATGAAGATAGAGCTCAGTTTTAGTTTTCAGATGACTGTTTGGAGCAGGATATACTTCAGGAGATGAACCTATAGGGATAGTAGAATATGTAGGATAACATTACCTAGTGTCATAGGGTGGCTTCTCCTGAAGAAGGTAGTAAGCCTAAGTTTGGGGTACAAAATATTACATACAGATCAAGTACTGTGGAAGAAAGAGGGAAAAAGGCAGTATTAGAGGAAGAAAATAGATACATTTCAACCTGCAAGGAGTTTCTGAACAATTACTGCCAGTTAAAAGCATCCTGTCTTGGCCCAAATGATCAAGCCTCATTATACCTCCACCTTGCTCAGTCACCTGATGCGGGCTTCCGCAGAGAGATCAATACCTCAAGTGAGGTGGTTCTCAGCAGCTGTAGTCATAGCCAGCTGCATAAATACTTTGGAGGGCCAATTGTAAAATGAGTATGAGATCCTTTCCTCAAAGAGCTGGAAGAAAGGTGCCACTAAAGATAGTAAAAGCTATTTTCTTAAGCAATCTAATCTCTCAGTGTTCATAGTATGTTTTTCATTGTTATTTAATGTTATGCCACCTTAACCCAGGTCATTCACTGGGCCAGTGCAGTCTGCACTGGTGCCCAGGAGCCTGACAAGTTTGCTTACACACATGGCCACCAGCTCTTGGGTCCCACCTGCCGCCCCTCTGGACCAACAGAGTCCTTCACGGAGCACGAAAAATCAAGTCAACTATCTTTCCCACTGCCCTCCAGGCCAAACCCACATAAGACAGGCAACTCTCTTTGGATTTGTTTTGTACCTGGATCTTTAAATGGGGTTTGGCATCAAGTCATTTTGGTAAAATGCACCAGTCATGGCTCTCATTCAAGAAAAGAGGAGGGTAAACAGTAGTCAACCATAAGCAGAGTATGGAAAAAAGGGAAACTGGTGTAGAACTCAGATTTAGCCCATAGAGGCAGCAGGATATGGGACTCATGTAAGCTCAGGCTCCAAGCCCAGGAACATGCTGTTTTCCATTGGTGCTTCACTTGCATACACTAAGTAGGAATAAAATTAAGACTTTCAATTAGCAAACTACAAGTATCAAATTCAATAGAGACTCTCCTTAGTGTGGTGCCTGCGGGACTGTGCTGGTTGTGCTTACTTGAAGTTGACTCTGCCTTTATATTAAAAGAAATTACTGGGGGCCATGGCTCAAGGTGGTAAAGCACCTAGCTAGCAAGGCAAGGTCTGGTTCAAACTCAAGCAAACACAAAAGAAAAACCCTATAAGAAATTTAAAGTGCCCACTCATTAACCAATCGAATATATGAATTTATTTGATCCCTGAATTTGAAACAAGCTAGATAGACCATAGAAAAGTAATTAGAATACTGTTGCAACTTTTTTGGTGATATTAAGATTTTACTGACGGGCACCAGTGGCTCACTTCTTAATCTAGTGTTAGGACCCGGAATCCTATTCCCCCGAGAGACAGAGAGCCCGGCGTGAATGCAATCAACAAAGCAGAGTTTATGGGCTGGCTGCCAGGGTCGACTCCACACGGACA